GGACTCCGGCGGGAACCCCTGATCCAACATGGGCTACCAACCAACCAACTGCTTGCTTAAACTTTACCCCTCCTATATAAATGTATTGGCCTGAGGGAAATTTATCGAAAGTGCGTGTACGCTCGCCAAATTAGTCTTCCGAACACTTAGTATCAGCCAACCCTTTCAAGTTCTTGCAGATGCAAAATCTGGGAACTAGTCATGTTTACAACGTGTCTGCCCCCACCCCCAAGTTTCCAGCTCCAACATATGGTATTTCAGCTGTGACAACACCCAACGACCAGATCTTCTTGAGGGCTTCAAAGGCTTTACTCGGAGAGGCGGAAAGATTTTGATGAGGTTTCTGCGAGGCCAGTAAATGGTTATTTGTATAGTGACACGTGTGGAGACCTTTACGTCATTTTGATCACCAAAAAAAGTTCATCTTCATCATGCACCACTAAAGCAGGATAATTACGGGAAAATGGAGAAAGAGGTTTATGTTTCAACACTGCTCCTCGAGGCAGTGGCGTCTAGCGTCGTTATTCGAGACAAAGTGTCTACAAAAGCTTTTTGGGTATGTTCGCTTCCTATTTCGATCGTTAAGTTCAATTTCTTAACTGTGACTGCAAAAAGACGCTACGCGAGAAGAATCCCTCTAGAAGGAGACTTGATATTGAAAGAGCATCGACGTGGACAGCGGGAAATGGGATAATCATTTTCAACTTATCAGTCATCATCAGTCAGCCATACTCACATGTACCGCGCCTAGTACTTGTAATAAACATGAACTGTGGGTTTGCCTGTATTTTCCGCAGCCGGCACGAGAGAGAAGGCAATCAACCAGGAGGAAACCTATAATCACAGACAGCAAGGCCTTCTCACAAAACGGCTTGATGAGAAAAAGCCGAACGACAGTAACTAAGAAGATCTGACGAGGAATGTATGACCATGGTAAAATTGCACGCTGTCATAGCAGGCAGTGGAGCGGCTCGGGTATGTGCCCTTCTGTGCGATTACCTATCGTGGGAATGGAGGCATTCACAACATCACCTCCCGCTTAAGACAACCTGAGATTTGGGTCCAGACTGTTTACTCAATGAGTTTTAAGTCTCCCTTGTCGTTGTAGGCACTCACTTTGCGCCAATGCAGGTAGCTAGACGAGGATTTTAGATTAAGCTTAAATAGTCAATAGGGCGAGCATATTGGACAACCTGATCAATGAACGACTCCCCAAAAAGACCCACTATCGTTCAGGTAGGTCAAAATGATAGATTCTGAAGACTAAAAAGGAATAACAAACATGCAAGGGGGTCAACATAAAACGCCGGCGATGTTCACGTACTCGAAGGTTCCATATGAGGTCAGGCTTGGCATGATCCTCGTTAAACTGGTAATAAAACATGGGCCAATTGAGTTGCTTTGGAGGCGTCTGTGGTACCCCATTGACGGTGGTATCGTTTGTACCGAGTTTCATGCGAGTTTTTCGAGTTAGACGCAGGGCGACCGGTTTCTCCTCTAGCACAGGCGCAGCTGGCTGTCAGAGAAAAAAAACGAAATCAAAGACAACTTAAAACAAAGAAGGGGTAGTGATTTCTTGATCGGCCACCTGTAAGTAGACATGTTCAATACACATATTAATTACACTGCTTACAAACTCTAAGTACGAAAACATTTAAAATAAACTAAAAGCGCAGACTTAGGCTGAGCACTCACCGGCTTGGCCTGGAGGCCAATTTTGGTCCGCCAATGCTGCAGAAGGCCGTCCAACTTCTCCTGCAGGACGTACAAGGTTTCGTTTTTCTTGCTTTGCACACGCATCATGTGCTCCTAGAGTGGGAAGTGAAAAAAAGATGCAATGTAGTCAAGGATGGATGAGGAAAAGTAAGGTAGGCTTGAGATTGGAATGATAAAAGCGGCAATTTTGATGTGCACGAGGTAGTATTTACGGCCACAGGTGTTGGCATCCTCCTGGGTTATACAACGGATTACACTGATTTAGTATTGTAGGCAAATTTTCCGTACTATATTGCTAGGATATGCAAACATCTTGTTATTTGACAAAAGTTGTAAATCATTGCGCTAATCCCTCACAGCATCAAGCCACAGTTCGAGCCGGTGTGGTGCAGGGAATGAGCGAGAATCTATTTACACACATGTGCATGCACTATCTGGGCTAGTAGGACTTACCTGAGCTAGCATGAGATTGTCACGGACATAGAGATGGTCCTTCTCTTCCCGTGGAGGTACATCGGGGGAATCGAGATAGCAGAGTAAACCATCGGGCTGTAATAGGGGGAGGGGTGGAGGGAAGATGTGTCACCAGGTGAGATCTAAACGGGAAAATATGCCCACGGGGAACTGCAGATAACTCACGAATATCCTCCGCAAAAGATCCTGCGCAGGGATGTTGTTCTCGGTCCACAGAGTCACTAGAATACGACTCAACTGCCTATAAAACAAATGGTTGCCTCAAATAAGCATCTTTTAGACACTTCAAGGCTGCGTATTTCAAAAACAATTAAACTTGACATCCTTAACAGCCCGACTTTCTGTTCTCTCGTTACTAGTCCTAATACACTATACAACAACCGCCATGATTAGCTCAGGGTTTGACGAGAATGCATGGACAGTAGTCTGAGGAAGCACTGCATAGTGCAACCGCTCGAAAACACGGTAAGCTCAGTGGGATCCCACCTCACGCACGAATTGAATTTGGTCCCCGGAGTAGGCAAGAACGCATCAACTGCAAGAAGAACATTCGTCGCCGTGTGATGCAACCCAAGAACACATATTTCCGTCCTACCGAAACCGCGGCAGTCGTTTACTACATATGATGCAATGATGGGAGTGTAAATATGTCGGGGAAACTGGACAAAAACTGCAGAATCACCGACAAGAGGGCAGACTGACGGCATGGGGGCGAGACCCTAACTCGCAGCTCATATTGACGAAATAGGTCATACTTTTAAATTTCAAAAGGTGACCAAATTTGGCCGCGGCATCTCAAAAGCAGAAAAACTTACACGGCATGGCATCCAGATACCAACATTATTGACAGGAATTTAGACCATTAGGCGGCTTATGAGATTCTGCGTCAGTACATAGAGAAGTATCAGGATAAGTTGGCTCCATTAACTGTAAACGTTACATTTTACGGAGTGTCAGATGCCGCCGTCGTAGAATAATATGACAGTCGGGAGAAGCAGGGGATGTGACGAGAGGCGTACGTGCGTCAACGGTATCCGTGTGACGATTCTACCTACATTATCGAGTTGTGGAGATAGCCAACGTATCCTACTACGGCAGGCGAGCTTACGTTCAAAACAGCATCGGTCGGCTACAGAAAAAGGTCTATGATTTGGCGTGACGTATGGAGACACGGGGTTCACTCCCAAGTGCGCTCCAGGCCTTTGTCAGTTAAAGCTGTAAAGCTCAAGGTAGCCAGGGGAGACGCTATGAATTTGGGAAACCAACAGACAGTGATGTGCGGGTTAATGAGAGGACGCAAACTTACCGAAGCACCAGACCCCGAGGATCACGGGAACAGTTAGAGAAACAGGCCGTAGAGAGGTGTTGAAGCAAGGCACCCTCTGCGAGAGACATCTGTCGCAGTTCGGCCACAATCACGTCCGGTGCCTCCTCAATGAGGGCTCGCATTACCAGCCCCGCGCCCTTTACGATGGCCAGACTT